TCTTAACATCTTTAACATTTCTTTTCAATTAAATATCATACTTCCTTAAAGATACATATAATCTCCATAATTAATTTTTCCCTTATTTCTTGTCACATATGTTTTGTAAATCATTAAATATTCATTTTGTTACATTTATTTATTGACAAGCATTCCACTGAATTACGATAGCTATTTTATCCATCATTTTAATCATACATTGTTTCATATTTTCTAAAATTATTTCTATTTCTAATATAACAATACTATCTTATGTACCTTTGCAGAATCCCTTTTTCCATTAAATTTTCACCCATTATCTCTAAATAGGCCCTGTTTCTCTATATTTTGTTTCTGTCCTTTATAACTTCTTTTCCTTTCTTTCTTCCCTCTCATCTTCTCCGTCCCCTTTTTACCCCCTTGTCTCTCTACTTCTAATTCTCTCTTCTGCATTTCCCTCTTCTGTTGCTTTCTGATTTTATACTTATTTTTCAATCTATTTTTTTTTGGGGGGGGGGTTGTTTTTCCCAATCTTAAACTTTCCATTCTCTTTCCCCCTTTCCTTTTTTCCCCCCACCTAAGATTACTTGTTCATTAAAGATGGATTCTTCTTTGTCCCAATCTTCTTGTTCTGCAGGCATTTCTTGTTGTTTCTCATAGTTCCAAATCTCCATTTCTAAGAACTGAAATACAAAGCCAAAAGAACCTCTCCCTTCTTGTGCATCTTCTTTGTACTTTTTAAGTTCCATTTTCAGTTCTTCTAAAAGTGGAGCCATTTTAAACAGTTTTAAACAACCACCTGATTGATTTTAGTCATTCAAATACAATAACCAAAAATCCAGAGATCATCAAGTAATCCAAATAGTCCCAAGCTGTTTCTTCTTATTTCTTTTTCCACTTTCTCTTCCTGGGGTTTTACTATTTTGTTGCGATGTTTCAGTTAGAATTTATCTTTTGGAAGTCTTGTTGAGATTTTGCTGTAAGTTCTTTTTAATTCCAGGCAGTCTCCTCCCTTCCAGATCCTGCCCTTTTATTCTTTTTCTCTCCTTTCCTGTTTTCAAAAGCTTTTGATTATCCAGAAATCTTTATTATCCCTTTGACTTTTTATTTTCAGTATTAAATGCCTATTAATGTCAAAGTGGATTTTTTTCCAATTTCTTGCTTAAGTCTCTTAGCTGTCAGTATAGGAAAAGGAGAAAAAAAACCAAATCTTTTCCCTTTTCTCCTTGCAGCTTAAAAATCTTATTAGGGAACAATGTTATTGTTTTTTTAATAGTTTCAATTCCAGGGTACCTTATTTGTTGCTTTTGCTGTTTGACCCGGTCAACCAAAACTTTCTCTTCTTATCTTCCTCCTGCACATTCTTTTCTGGTAGAGTTCTTCTTTGTGGTGGCCATTTCTGATCACCGCTATAACCGCCTTCGGGAAAGGGAGTAATGGCCAGCTGGGGAGGAGAGATGCGGCTCTCCTCAACCCTGCAGGCAGTCTCCCCCTTCTTCACCACCTCTACGGGGTGGCTTAGCCCCGAAACCAGCTGGCTTGGGGCGCTCCAGCGGCGAACACGGATCGAAAACTCACAGAGACGAGGTTTTGCTTGTCGCCGAAGAAGCTCAAACCGGAAGTCCCGAAAACAGGCACAACTTTGAATTTATAACTAATGAGTTTTGCATGAAGACCATCATATGGGAGGTTTTGATACTGGGCCTATGTACAATTTGATAGATTTGAGCAGAATTAGAAGTAATAACTGAGAAAAATGTCCATTTGCAAGTAGGATTTCCTGATTGCCAGGGAAAATAGGTGGAGTCTGTCATTGAAAACATCTTATAGATTAAAATCAGTTATTCTTATAGGTTTAATTTTTGTTTGGCTATAACAAGGCTGTGAAACTCATGGCCCATGGGCTGGATGTGTCATGTGCTGGCCACTCCCATGCCTGGTTTAGCGAAGGCGGGGGGGAAAGTCCCGATACATCATGTGACGCTGCTGTGACGACGTGAGTTTGACTCCCCTGGTCTATAACCAATGAGAGAAGAGATCTCTATCATAGAAAACACTCTGTGCTCTTAAGAGTAAGCTCCACTGAATTCAGTTACATTGAACCCTTAACTAAAATATGTATATATAATTGGGTAAACAGATTCGTTCATGTTAAGTCATATAAAGTGAAGTCTGTAAGATGAACACCATTCCCTTCTAATGTCTGAGTTTTTAACAGGCAGCTTCACCACAGCAGAGGGAGATGATGGAACAGGCTGCAGCCCAGTTGGCTCAAGATAACTGTGAGTTGGCCTGCTGCTTCATTCAGAAAACAGCGGTGGAAAAAGCAGGTCCTGAAATGGACAAGAGGCTGGCAACTGTAAGTACCTGGTTGGTTATGGCTCTGGCAATCTTGTGTAGTCCTCCTGTCATTCACCTCTGTCTTTCTTCATTGATAGGAATTTGAGCTCCGAAAACATGCCCGGCAAGAAGGGCGCAGGTACTGTGATCCTGTGGTTTTGACTTACCAAGCAGAGCGGATGCCAGAGCAGATCAGACTGAAGGTGAGAAATGAGAGTCTTGAAGCATCTTGACATCTTCAACCTGTGAGCAAGAAACTACTGGGTACCTAGTAGAGGTGTCAAGTGAAATTGCTCACCTACGTATATTTTGGACATGATATTGTATTGATTGTACATTACTTTTTTACATTTTCAGTATTATGTATTTTTGGCTGCCTGTATATCAAAAAGTTGTGAATGCCTTCAGCTAAATTTATATTTTAGAAATCAGGTAGAATTTCATTTCAAGATAATTCAAGAGGAAAGAGGAAAACATTACAGTTTTGCATCTGCCCTACTGCTGCATCCCCAGGCTAACAGTTAAGAAGCTAAGGATAAATTGCTTCACAAGTGGCCAGGCCACAGGAGCCCAGAATAATCCAGTCTTGTCTTTTCTTTCCTTGGACTTTGAATTCTGACCCCATTGTACATTTTCTACATTAAGTGAAGAGTACAAGGCTCTTAACATGGATTCATAAATATGCATATATAAAGTAGTATAATGTTATTGGAAATCATGAAGCATCTTCTTCTACATTGACCACTTCAGACATTTTGTTTTAACTTCTCAGGAGATCCAGTTTCAAATGGCTTTAAGCCCTGTCATCAAAGCTCAGTTTTACCATAACACATTAACACCAGGAGAGATCAGTAGAGGATCTGAGTCACCCATAGGAGACCATGCATAGTTCTATGTCTTTTTTCATTGGAAAGGTGTTTGTAGAATCCTAGTTGGAAGGGCCCTTTTTGCCTTCAAAGCTAGCTTCCCTAGATGGACTAGATGACCTCCAAGGTCCCTTCCAACTCTGTTACTGTTACCTATTTAATGCAAGACTCTATGTGAAAGAATCCCTGACAGAATGTTGTCCAGATTCTGTCTGAATACTATATACATTCAATTTACTATATACTATAAAATCAGTCTCTAATGCAAACTTCGGTTCAGTGTGATGTGAACAAGTGTAGGTTGTGACAGCTGCACAATGGATGTTCTGACCTGTTCTTTCATCACAGTAAGGAAGGAGAGGTACTGCTGCCCTTACTGCAGAGGTCTCCCTTTCCCAGCTGTTCATGTTGTGGCCCACCAGTGGCTAGCGGAGGTCGGACAGTGTCGGACAGTGAGGAGGTTGGGGAGGAACATGGGCCAGTCCTGGAGGCTGAGGAAGGCTCGGACGAGGGCTCTGCATCAGAGGCAGAGATGGGGCCAGGACAGGCTGGCAGTTATCAGCTGCCTTTGGAGTCGGACAGCAGTGAGGCGGGAGAGCAGCTGGAGCTGGTTCCCAGCCTGCGCATGCGCAGAGCTGCCAAAAGAAAAGAACAATTACGAACTAAGGGTTGATGTGGGAGTAAGGCCACAGGTGAATGGCCCCTCCCATAGGGATTAAAAGATGAGCAAAAGGGGAGGGGGCTTTTGCAGGAAACAATTCGTTCATTCGTGCAGCAGTGTGAAGATCTGTCTGCATTTCCGAGACTCTGTGCTGAGTCCTCCTTTGTCAGCACTGAGTTTGAAAATATTTACTTGGCAGCTCTTCAAGTTAGATAAGGTCTGTGCTCCTAATTACACCCTTGAAAGACTGTTTGCCAGGCCTTTGGCTGAATGTGAATGCAAGAAATTCATCTTAGGTTAATAAAAGGGGTTTTGCCAGGATAACGAATCTGCTTAGTGCTTTTTGGGGAAGTCTAGGTCAGAACAGCTCATAAGGTGGTCAATAAAACTGCCCCCCAATTTATTGAGAAACTCCAGAGCACCACTGAATGCCTAGGAAAGGCTGCCTTAAAGGAGCTGCAATCTGCTCTGTAGTTCTGAGAAATCAATCTCTTCACAATGGATGGTTGAGGGAGATGCCCAATTTCTGGACTAGGATAAATGTATTGCAGACTAGACGGTCAACATCATCAGCTTCGGTCATTCTGTCACCTGGGCCTTGAGATGAGCCAGGCACAGAGAGAGCAGTTGCAAGCTTCAGCCTAATTTCTTAGATACATTTTTCAACGAGGCCAGTATTCATTCCTTTAGAATGCCAAAAATCCATGTTAGCTCTTTGCAAAACTGAGCATACTTTGGTGATCTATCGTAAAAACTTGGATTTTAGGTTTTCATATAGTAGTAAATATATGCCAGTTGAGGATTTGCTATCTATATGGCTGTTTGATGACTCAAAATTTACATTTTCAGTATTGTGTATTTTTGGCTGCCTGTATATGAAAAAGTTGTGAATGCCTTCAGCTAAATTTTAGGGATTTTAGGCTCCAGGCTTCTCAGTAAACCCCACCTCACTGCCTCTGAAGCAGCCTGGACTATCCCTTTGACTTTTTATTTTCAAACACCTCTGAAAATATGACTGTTCAAAGGGTGGTAGCAATTTATGGCCCTGTTGCCTGTGTAACAACTTTTATACTTTAATTTTATGCTATTATTTGTAGGACTCTCAGAGTCTTGAAAATGGAGCATCTTATAAATCAAATTGGTTAGCCAGTCAGCAATGTTCCACATTGTTAGAGATCTCTTAACCAAGGAATTTCACACTTCTGGCAAAACTACTCCATAGGGACTTCCTTATCCCTCATTTGAATATGTAGAGGGAGGGGGAAGGGGGAGGGAGTGGGGGAGAGAGAGAGAGCCCTGTGATTCCTATCATGTCCTGGTTTTCTTCTTACCACTGTGCTCCATGCCCCCCTCTCTACCTGGATGCTGATCCCCAAGCCTCCAGGGAGTGTTTACTGATTAGCTTTTATAGTTGCTTCTGAGAGGGTCTCACTTTTTCTTGTTGGAAACCAGCATCTTTCCCCATAGATTTAATTCTGGGTGGTTTCTTTTTATCTCTGACATCCAAGGACACACTAAAAGCTCTTTGTTGTTAGAGTCAGTAGAAGTAATAATAAAGAACTTGCATGGAACTTCACACTGAAGCAGATATCCTTCCCATCCATCCATTTTGTCTTCTCAGTTATGTTTTAAATAATGTACTGCTTGAATTTAGGTAATGTTTTTTCTTATTGCTTTTTCTTGTTTTATTTAATTACTTTAAATTTATGTATTTATTTAAATTAATTATAGAGCCACCCATCCCATGGCAATTTGATATTTGATATTTTACTTGCTAAGTGTTCCAAGCACTATGTACTCTTTAGGCACTGCCTGACTCCAAATCAACTCTTGACAGTCACAATATAACAAAAACAAAATAAAAAATAGAGAAATATTAGCCTGACATTTAACAGAATTTATATTCTGTTTCCATGCTGGCCGAAGGGCCATCCTGGCCTTGTTTACCCTGTGTCTCTGTCAGGGTGACTACTGCAATTGTCCTAGGCTAATGCTGTTTAGGGTATCTGAAAGTGTTGGTTTGGCCTTCAGGACCATTTCTGAAGGTCAATCTGCAAATTTCCATGGCGTTTCCAAAGCAAGCAGAGCATGGAGAGCTCAGGAAGCGCAATATAGTTGGGATGCCTTCTGAACCTAGCAGCTCTGATGATGATGGCTTCCTCAATGTCAAGATGTAGGGCCTGAGATTTGAAGAGTGGAGTGAAGGAGACAGAGGAAAACTACCCATTTCCAGTCTTGGTGTCTTTGTTTTCTTTCTTCTCCTATGGTGGCAGTTGGATTTGGACCCAGTGCTCAGCAGGCTCTGTTACTCCACCCTGACTCTGGCTGCAAAGTTGTTTCTGTGACTCCATGGCCCTTAAAGTCTGCTCAGCTGCCAGAAGCACTCTGGGGAGAGTTTGCTTGGACCGTGATGTATCTAGTAGTCTCCCCTCTCATGGAGAGGGGCATTTTCTTGTTCAGAGAGGAGCTGAGCCTTCCTTTGTTCAGTAGAGCCATTTTATGATTGTGGCCCCTACCTTATTATAGCAGAGACTGTGTACAGATCTGAAATTCAGGCATGCAGGTAGTTTGTATTTCAGAAAGTTTATTGCAATTACCTTCAGTAAATGACAGTTTTTCCCTCTTCATGATGGAGAGGGGAATTTTGATATCAGCATACTATTAGAAAATACATTATTAATCTGTACCACAGTGTCCACTCAAACATGGGCCTTATAGATTCGCTAACTTTTCCTTTAGACACCTTGATTCATCAAAGCCTATAGCAGAATCTGATATTCTCTGCCTTGTTCCAAATAGGACATAACTTTTTTTTAAAGTCAAGTTCTTCCTGGAACAATCAAGAGACTCTTGATAATGTTATGATAATAAATGTGATAAAAACATTTATAATAAGTGTAATAACAAATGAAAATATTGCCACACAGAGCAATACATTAAACATCCATTATGCACATATAAAACAGATAGTCAGCAGTTAACATATAAATAGAGAACCAAAACCAGAAGAGACACTTCATACTCCAAATACTATTTGGAATAATTCTGTTTTTAATAGCTTGCTGAAAGCCCACCAAGTGGAATCCCTTTCTTGCCTGCTCTTCTTCTGCTAGTTGCCTAAGACCTGGAAATTGGTTTTTTCATCAGGCACATTGAGCTTGGTGAGTGATGTGTACTGTGTACATGTAATACAGAGCTAGATTTCCAGCAATAATAGGGACTGCAGACCTCCATTGATGCTGTCTATCTTTTGCTTTCTTTTCCTTGGTGGACCTGTTGAAGAAGTTGATTGCGAAGAAGTTATGTTTGAAAGTTAGTGTATGTTTTTGCTTTTAACCCCCATGAAGCAAAAGTTGTACATATCTATTGGAGCATTCCTCTTTCAACTGCTGTGGGGGCTGGGAGTGTAGCTCTCCTGCCATTGCTGAAATACAAGTCACAACAGCCTCTTCACCAACTGCATTCTCTGGTGCTGCTGGGAAGTTGTTATTTACCATATCATTTGTCATATTTGATATTTACCATATCAATCACACTGAGTGCAATTGCTCAGTGCCATAGTATTGGTGTGAAAGAAGCATTAAATATACCTAAAAAAGCAGGCAAATGTGTAAACTAGAAAGATCTGCTCTTAAACGAATGAATTCTAGTTGAATATCTTCACACAGTAGATTCTGCAGTAACTCTTTTCCTGAATTAGTTGCAAGCAAGAGTAATTGAGGAATCTACTCTCAATTGAGGTAGTTTGACTGAATTGAGGTAGTTTGACTGAATTGACAGCTGTGGAAATATTTTACTGACATTCCTTATTTGTTTTTTAAGGTTGGTGGTGTGGACCCAAAGCAGCTAGCTGTATATGAAGAATTTGCACGGAATGTTCCTGGTTTCCTGCCAACAAATGATTCAAGTCAACCAACAGGAATCCTGGCCCAGCCTATGAAGGTAGCAGTCCACTCGAGTCAGAAAAGGCTGTTCAGGGTCTCATCCAGTGGCATATGAAGAACACTTTTGAAGAATAGCACTATTCTTCAAAACTCACATACTACAGTAGAGGAAAAATTTAAAATCTACTATGATTTATTAAAGGCTTAATGTTTATCCATTTCATAGAATCACTGAATGTAAAAGTTGGAAGGGGCTTTGAAGATCAGCAATGTCCATTTGAACAACAATGTTTTTGAAGATGCTGATAATAATGCTCCTGATGAAAACTAATCCAAAAGCATTTTTTAAAAGCAAGTATTTAAAAGGATCATTCCTCAGTGATCTGACTGCATCTTTGCTTCATCCCAATACAGCAAGCCTGGGCAACTGATGACGTGGCACAGATTTATGATAAATGCATGGCAGAGCTAGAGCAGCATCTGCAGTCTGTTCCCCACACGTTGGCCATGAATCCCCAGACACAAGCTCTGCGGAGCCTTTTGGAGGCCGTAGTTGTGGCTCGTAATTCTCGAGATGCTATTGCAGCCCTTGGATTGCTACAGAAGGTATGTGCATAAACTCAGGGTCAAACGTGGTCACTTTTTTGTGGAGAGAATAGTTGCTGGGTCTCCATAAACATAGTGGGATTTGGAGTGCAAGCACTCTGAAAAGATGATAAGGATGTCCCTACAAAGTCCCTAGCTGAAGGATCAGGGCATCCTGGGCTTCCTACCTGTTCTGCAGTCTTAAGAACTCCCATTGGAGTTCTTGTAAGAAAGCTGGAAAACTAGCTGTTTTCTTCTGCCTTAGGCTCTGCTTGGTCAAATTTCCATGGTAGCTACAGGATAAGCTGCAAACCTTTACTCTGATGAGCAGAGAGGATGGTCGTAACAGGGGACCTGTGAATTATTGGTGGCTCCCCTATTAACAGTTCCTCACTTTTTTCCTTATTAGCTGTCTTTTATAGTTGTTTTTTTTGTAATAGTAATGGTTACTCTTTTACTATTTATTAATTTAACTATTTTAGCCTTGTTATACAATATCCAGAGTTTGTGAAATGGGTGGCTATATAAGATAACAAGTAGATTGATAGAGACGTCATTGGTGGACTTTTCTTCCAAGGTTTCCAGTGAGTCTAGGATAGCTTGTTATCAGTCAGACTGAACATCCTGATACTATCGTGTCTCCAGGTCTTAACCCTTTGACCAAAGGTATTTCCTTTCAGACCAGCCCTAGAAAACAACAGGCAAAAATATAAAGCCCAGCAATATAAAATGTAATAAACCTTGTGCTAAAACTAATTTAAAACTCCTAAAACTTAAAAGAGTGTAACTATACAATTTTGCACATGAAAAAGATTTAATGTGAAATTCCCTTTTTAAAACAATGAAATCCATTACTTAGATATAAGAAAATTTACTGATAGAAAAATAATATAGGAGAAACAAGGGCAAACAACAGTTAGAAAGTTCTATATGAAATCATTAATCAGCGTAACTGAACTATTTATTTATTACATTTTACTTACTTACATAAAATTTTAGGTCCCAGCACATTGTCTGCTGCTGCTGCTGCTGCTGCTACTACTAGTAATATTACCTTATCTGTCATCTCGCTTAAGCATTCCTCTCAAGTGTGTAAAATGTTGAAGAGAATTCAAATCCAGCCTCTTTGGTAAAGCCAGTTGCTTTGCTCAATAAAGGCAAACATGTTCCATTTCTGAAATTACCATCTGCTTATAATTGCTTGATTCCATGGTTAAGTAATGAAAATGCTGAACCAAATTATAAAGCAGGAGTCCTTGTATGTGCCAGAAAAGTGGCTATCCAATTAGTTATGACCACCCTCTGCACCTCTTCCACCTGTTTTGATCTGAAAACAAATTTGGAGATGACCTTATGGGAAAAAATTTGGACAAATTTGGAGATGACCTTAAATGAGAAAAGGAAAAGATAACAGCAGTCCAGAGGCTGAAGCAAACATGAGAAAGAAACTCAAAATAACTCTGCCTTGATATTGTTTAGTGTAAGAAGAAATGGAGCACAACTTGGGGAGGCTTTCAAGATTCTGTTAGTATACCCTCTTAACCGTAAAATAGCATTCCTGGAATCCCCACAATATCTGTTGTTTTCACGTGCCTTCCATAAAGAGTTGACATCCTATTCTCAGGAAACCAATCCATATTTCCTTTCCTGTGATAGTCCTTTAAGCATTAAAAGATCCTTTTGTTACCTCTTCCCCTTCTGTTCTTTGGCCTAAATGTACCCAGTTAAGTACACCTGTACAGAGAAGACTAAGATGATGAGGCACTTGAAAGCTCAATCCTATGAAAGTTGTCCTTGACTTACAACCACAATTGAGTCCAAATTTTTGCTGCTACGCAGAACAGTTGTTAAACGAGTTTTGCCCCCTTTTCAATCTTTCTTGCCACAGTTGTTAAGTAAAACACTGCAGTTTTAAATTAGTTGTTAAGTAAATCTAGTTTCCCATTGGCTTTGTTTGTCAGAAGGTTTCAAAAGTGACCATATGACCCGGAATGCTGGAACCGTCATAAATATGAGTCAGTTGCCAAATTTAGTCACATATGCTGATGCTGCAACAGTGGTAGGCGTGAAAAATGCTGTTGTAACTTTGAACAGTCACTAAACAAACTGTTGTAAGTCGAGGACTACAACTCAAGTCCACAAGCCTTAAAGTTGCCAAGTTTGGAGACCTTTGGGATAAAAAAATGTTGGGGTTGTTTTTTTTAGAAAACAGAAGATGAATCACATCTATTCAGAACAGAATCAACCTACTACAGGTAGTCTTTGACTATGACCACAACTGAGCCCAAAATTTTTACTGCTAAGCAAGGTTAAGTGAGTTTTGCCCCATTTTATGACTTTTTTGTCATACAGTTGTTAAGCAAAACACTAATTGTTAAATGAATCATGCAGTCATTAAGCATTTCTGACTTCCCACATTGTCTTACTTGTCAGAAGCCACTTGGAGAGGTTACAAATGGTGATCCCATAACCCTGGGACAGTGCACCTGTCATAAATACATGCCAGTTGCCAAGCTCCTGGATTTTGATCATCTGACCCTGGGGATGCTCCATAGGTAATAAGTGTGAAAATCAGTCATAATTCAGTTTTTCAGTGCCATTGTAAACTTCAAATGATCACTGAATGAATGATTATAAGTCAAAAACTTATCTGTACAGGTTTTGTGAGGCTTGTGCATCATAAAAGAAGTGAGTTGTTAACTATTTCATTATATTCTTAAAAGATATAAAATGCAGTCTGAAGAGAGAACTAATTTTTTTCTGCCAGAAAATTCATTAAGAAATACTTTCCTTTTCTGACAGGCGGTTGAAGGATTATTAGATGCTACAAGTGGTGCAGATGCAGACCTCCTTCTCCGATACCGTGAATGTCATTTGCTTGTATTAAAAGCCTTGCAAGACGGCCGTGCCTATGGCTCTCCCTGGTGTAATAAGCAGATAACAAGGTCAGTCATCATCATGACATTGGGGGTGGGAGCTTTGAAGACCATCGCATGGTTTTCTCAGAGTTTTCTCAGAAAATAAAGCAAATGTAAAAGAAAAAGAAAAGTATCAGGACTGGATTCATGCCCCTTCAAAAGACTTAATCTTTCTATAAAATAAATGCATGAAGCTGAAAAAGCATTTTGTTTTGAATATGGGATGAAACGGTCTGGTCAGAAGGTCCTTTTGTGTTGAATTTAGTGAAACAAATATGGAGCAAAGGAGTCGTAGGCTGTCTACTGTAGAATAAATGTTTGAAGCCCCTATTCTATCGTTGACCCAAATAAAAACTTAGTTTGTTTTTTTAAGTTCGTTTAAAATTCCTATAAGATACAATAAGAACGATTTAAGCAAAAAAGCAAGCATTCCAACATAGGCTTCAGTAAGGCTATCAGTAAGATTCTTTGTGACAACATTTTAAAAAGTACATCAGTGTACTTTTCCATTATAAATCTGGGCTTAACTCTAATATTTCTCATCAAATAATCCAAGCAGGATTGATTTGCATAAGTATCAACTGTCTCCAAAGGAAAGCTCTAATTAGCTAAGAACACATGCTATTAAATTTGAAAACTATAAAAATTCAGTTTGTCTGCTGAGCAAAACGTATTCAAAACTGCCTTGTCTCTTCCCCCCCCCCCCCCCCCCCCCCCCCCACACTTTGTATAAAAGTTTTGTTCTGAGGCTGACAGAAAGCTCTCTGAATGTGGGTATTTTCTCCCAATAGCTCCTATAAAGTATTCATGTAATTGCTGAATGGTGCCTTGATTAATGTAATCCCACCATTCAGGCTTAATGTTCTTAGTTCTGTATAAGATTACATTGTACACTTAGTGCTGCTGTTTGAGTACTGTTTTAATCTTAAATAAAAGAAATAATGCCTGTGATATGATTAATATATTCTGAGATGACTACTGAAACAAGTTATATCTGAGAAGTAAGATATATTTAAGTAAGATATATTTCAAATGACAGAAATCAAACATAGTTGCTTATAGTATCTTTCTGTTTTTAACTTCCTCTGAATTTTTTCCTGTGAAGCCACAACAAATGACATTACTTTTTGAAGTTATTGCTGTGTAGTAGGTAAAACTTGTGGTGGTTTTATTATTATCCCAAATGGTTTTGTTTTAGCTGTTTTCTGTTCTTTGTGGATGGCTCAGCTAGAACTGATTTGCTACCACTTCCTGCTGACCTCCTTGCTGCAGGCCAAGACATGACTTGTGTCTGCTTAAGCTGAAGAGACATATGAAGCAGATTAGTCAATCTTTGCCTGCTGAGAGTTAGAAGAAAACCAAATTAACATGAAAAAGTGACAATATTTTTCCAGATGTCTGATTGAGTGTCGAGATGAATATAAATACAACGTAGAAGCAGTAGAGCTCCTGATTCGTAACCATCTAGTTAACATGCAGCAGTACGACCTTCACCTAGCTCAGGTGAGTTGTTGACATTGGCTTTCATGAAGACAATACAGATGCTCTGTGATGGAAATGGCTCATTCTGTTTGGCATCTATGCTCTTTCCAGTCCATGGAGAACGGCTTGAACTACATGGCAGTGGCGTTTGCAATGCAGCTGGTGAAGATCCTGCTCGTGGACGAGAGAAGTGTGGCTCACATGACAGAAGCAGATTTGTTCCATACCATTGAAACTCTGATGAGAATAAATGCTCACTCCAGAGGAAATGCTCCAGAAGGGTAATGCTCAGACGTCGGTGAGGGTGACCAAAGGAGCCTGATGGCTCTTTGCAGAAACAGCTGCTCTGTCATTCCCACCCCACGTTCTTCCTGGGTCAGGAGTGACAGAGAATGCTATCCTATCCAATCTGCAATTTGTTTAGGCTCACTGTGTTGTCCACAATACTTAATACAGGTAGTCGTTACATTATAATAGTTCATTTAGTGACCGCTCGAAGTTACAATGGCACTGAAAAAGTGACTTACGACCGTTTTTCACACATGACCATTGCAGGATCTCCGTAGTCACGTGTCCAAAATTTAGATGCTAGACAACTGGTTCATACTTACAACAGTTGCATTGTCCTCGGGTCCTGTGATCACCTTTTGTGCTCTTCTGACAAGCAAAATCAATGGGGAAGCCAATTTTTCTTAACAACTGTGTTACTGTCTCTCTTAGCAACAGAAATTTTGGGCTCAAATGTCACAATTTGAGGACTACCTGTTATTATCATTCATGCATTTGACTTAGTTAATTTGTCAATTTTCTTTGGAAGAAAAAAATAGGATAATACAGGTAGTCCTTAAGGTACAACGGTTCACTTAGCAATGGTTCAAACAACATCATTCCCAAAAGTACTTACGGCCTAGTCCCAGAGTTACAAATGTGGCAGCACCACAGCCGTTGTTCACCCTTGTTCATTGCCCCTGCCTATTCCTCCCCCACCCAAAACAGGGACCTAACAGACATTGTCGCTGCTGGGCTCGTCCCCATCTCATCACCGATCACTCAAAGATCCGCCTTTGACTCTCCGCCTGCAGAGTCAGGGCCATATGGTAGAAAAGCCGCCGTCTTCTCGGATGCTGGTGAACCTGCTGCAAGAGGCTTTTTGCACAGACAGGGGAGAGGCGTGCAGGAGTGCGAGATCGCACCTGCAAAGGCTTCCATCCCCTTTGCAAAAGGCTTTTGGCGTGGAGGACGCAGGGCATGACATCATATCCCCGAAGGCTTCCGTTCTCCACAGCAAAAGGCTTTTGCAAAGGGGACGGGGGCCTAAAGTGCTCTTTCAGACTCATCAAGGCTGCCCGGCGCTCTAAAAGCGGATTGGGTATCCTGCACAGGCAGCCTCAGGGAGTCAGCCAAGCTGAGCAAAGCACACTCGCCCCACTCTGCCTCTGTTCATACTGCTCCGCTTTTGGAGCACCGGGAGCAGGCAAGGAAACCGTGCTGACGTGCAAACCCCATGGCAGAGAGGCTGGAAAGGAGGCAGCTCACTTGATGAGAAAGAAGGAGCAGTCAGCCTGTTCTGAAACTCCTTGAAAGGTAAATGAGGGAGTGATAATGGGATGAGCGTACTATGAGATAGTCTCATAGTCTCTATGAGTAAGCGGAACATGAGATAGTCTTGGGTGTTCAGAAGCAGGTGGCCTGTTCCACCACTAGGCCCTCCATGGTCTTCCTCACCCTGAGATATCTCATGTGCACTCAACAGCTACACATTCAATTAACAAATGCATTGCAGAAAGCAGGGAGGGATCACATTCATTTAATATCCAGTTAACGAATCCTCAGGTTACCAAAGTAATTGACAGGCTCTCTTGTAACTTGGGAATTACCTGTATATGGCATGTGTTGAGGAAAAGTGAGGCGCAAAGGTTAAAATAATGTGCTGTAGCTGTACAGAAGCCAAAATAATGGGCTGTAGCTGTACAGAAGCCAACCATACCACTTTGATACTTACAGGTTGCCACAGCTAATGGAAGTGGTACGATCCAACTATGAAGCCATGATTGATCGTGCTCATGGCGGACCCAACTTTATGATGCATTCTGGGATCTCTCAAGCCTCAGAATATGATGATCCTCCAGGTCTGAGGGAGAAGGCAGAGTATCTCCTGAGAGAGTGGGTGAATCTTTACCATTCTGCAGCTGCTGGCCGGGACAGCACCAAAGCCTTCTCTGCATTTGTTGGACAGGTAGAACTTGGGGAAAGAGAGGTGCTTTTTTCAACAAAACTATAACATAATGATTATAGAACTTATGAAGAGTTGTGTAGTATTAATTCTGTCTCACGTGTACTGAAATCCATATTAAATAGTTTGAATGAAAATTACCTGCTTTCATCATTAAACTATAATCTTAAATCGGATGCAGAGCAAAAATAACCAGTATGAAACAGCAAACAAATTTAAGTCATGTAAAATAATAAATAGTGAAAACATTTTACAGGATGCTAATAAAAACAGGCAAAACAAAGGTGGACAAAGTCAACAAAGTTTGCTCAACTTTGCCTGATCTTGGTAAAAGTTTGCTGCCAATTGGAACTGAACAGGTATTATGGTGGCTACTTTGGGGAATGCCTGGCAGATCCTTTTCCCCTCAAACATAATGCTCTGAGCATGTCGCCAAGGGGGAAATGATCCATCAGATGCCTGGGCCTGGCTTGGTAGCATGTAAAGTAGCTCTAGGACATGAGGGAGCTCCTTTGAATACCCTTGCGTAGGCTGCAGCCTTGGTGTGGCTAAAGACCTGAATTTTGAATGCATTGAGTATTGTACTGCAAAATATTTATGGGGAAAAATAGATGGGGTCATAGCAAAAACTGTTAAATTAAAATTAAATAATTACATTAAATTAATCATACAGTTTGTCTGTTGTCCACCATGCATTTAATCCTTTTCCCATTCTGGAGTTTTATATGCAGCTGACCTTGCAGAGCACTCTGTAGTGGCTTCAGCAACCAAACAACAGCCAATCTTACTATGGAAAAGTGTTAAATAAAATAATAATTTTCAATATGGACAGACTTAACCATAGTTTCAATTGGGAAACTGTGACCATCCTAGACCAAGCCAAGTCCAAAAACGCTAAGGAATTTCTGGAAGCCTGGCACTCTGACAAATTAGCCATTAACATAAACATAAACAATATCTACAGACTATGCAAAAGACACCATCAAGCCAAAAAGACAACAAAAAGATCAAAACATCATCAGTAATCAGCATCCAGATGACATAGAATAAATCCAAGATTAACAACAATCAAGTAAACAATATCCCAATCAAGGAACTGCCAAACAGGCCAACAGTAAACAGCCCCACCAAAGAACCTTTACAACCCCACCAATACTGACAGGGTAAGCCACTAGAACATCAACTGAGAGCAAATCCCACTCCTTACTAGGTGATGTAACCTAGTTTGGGCAATGAAATGTCTGCAATAAAACAACCAAGGACCCCTGATAGTAATTGTCAAATTCACAGTATTGTTGGATGAAACAAATTACTTAGACATGTTTGCAGAGAGACCCACCCTTGCCTGAATACATTTAATATCCACTGCTTCAGATTATTCTTAGGTCCATTTTTGTC